GTATTTCTTTCTCTTTTTATAATCTCTTATCCCTTATGATGATTTCATCATTTCTTTCTGAAAGGTTTTCTCTAATTCCTTTTCAAAGTAAATTTCTTATTGCAATATTAATGTCTTCTTTTATTATTTCAAAACATAATAGAAACTAAAACTTCAGAAGTATCATAAAGAATTTCAATTAGGTAAACTGCGCTCCCTGTTTACCAAAGTTTTAATGATACAGTTTACAAGATTATTAGCATAGCGAGGCTCAAGGAATAGTTGTTTAAGGAATTTGCTTCCCTAGACATGGAATGTGAGTGTGTCACTCCCTGTTAACTTTCACAATATCTTTCTTTTGTTTATAATAGATAATTCCACTATGAGCTGTTTGGCATTATTTTTCTTTTGTAAGTTTTTGTTTCTCTTTTGATAAAATACATTCCATCTGTTGAAGATTTAACGAATAATACTTAAAGTTACTGTGATGTTTTGCGTTTACTAAAGTATTGAGGGGACGCCACACATCTGATACTTTCTGAGGACGAAAGACTAGAGATTGAATGGAGTTAAATATAGGCGATGTATTAATGTAGATGTTTATCTCATTTTTCTTTTCAGTCATTATATCATTTCCAGAAACATGACTCATACACGTCGTCAAATACAAAGAAGAGGTTGGTCAAACCGTCAAAGAGAACGTGCAAGAGAGCGAAGAGAACAAATACGTAATGAAGGTGAGCTATTTGGTGGATTTAGTGAAATGCCTGAACTGCAATTATTGTATTGGGAATAGCTGGATTCATTAAATTAGTTTCATTTAGTCGAGTTGCGCATAGACTAATGTTTTTCTTTTCTATATATATTTGATATATATAGGACGTCAAGAGAGTCATGAAAAAGTTTCAACCTTACGAGAACAGTTGGTGACTTTCTTAGAACAAACAGGAACTTTCTTCATCGAATTTGATCAAGCATGTGATTTACTAATGAAACTTTCTACTTTTTTGTCTCAAACTGAAAATAGGTTCCAAGATCTCCAAGAAGCTTACGCTAATCTGTATCAAGATTTCCTTCAAGTTCAGCAAGAAAGAGATCTTCTCCAAACAAATTCTCAAATACAAGTTATGCAAACTCAAAGATTACAAGAGACCCTAGAAACTGTTCGTTGTAGATATAGATTTATCGTATAGCAAATCCTTGATCGAAGTGTAGAATATGGATTTCGTGTGAGATTTTGTCGTCCTCATGAGGATTAAGTATAGATTT